GGAGCATCTTGCCGCATCTTCCGCACTTCGGTGATGATACTGGTGACCTCTAAGATACCCCTTCCACGTTTGACCCTCCCCCCTAGAGCGACAGTTTTTTCTCCTAAAAATCCTATTTTTAATTATATTCCGCCTCAGTGGCTCATGTAAATTGGCCTCGCCAGTAAGCTGAGATACTATTTTTCTGATACTAAAACAGGCATGTACAAATAAGGAATTAAAAGGTAACCCACCTACATCTCTCTCAAATGTACTGATACTGAAAATCCCAATAAACCATGTTTCTTCGGTAAAAGACAAATAAAATACGACAAACCTTATTATAGGTTGGCATAAGTGCGTATTTTTTCCAGTCTCTTTTCCTTTGGCTCAAACCAAGATTCTGCGCTAGACAAGGGTGCATCAGCGAGTGGCTGTGTACTGATGGATGAAGAATTCATCGGCTTGTAGGCGGCAGAGTCAACAGCAGAGCCCTTAAGAAAAGACCTGAAGCAGGGCTCAGAGGCCGCGAACTCCATAAGACGGGATAACAGATTCCATCGAGTTGGCAGCTAAAATTCGTGAAGGATGTTCTGAACGTAGAAAATTTAGTGATAGTTGTTGTAAACAAGGGAAAATTTTGTAGAATTTTGATACCATAGGTAGTTTATTTCGCAATGCAATAGGTTTTCCCGAAAAGTGCTGACGATACTTAAATGTGCATGCCAAAGGAAGAAGTAAAAAGACACTGTGGTTACTGTTGCGTCCAAAGTCGTCAAACTGCTAAAAATTAGTAAGGAGGTTAAAGATACCACCGTTTAACAGCTTAAACATTAAAAACTTCTGTAATTGGCGAAACCACAAGGGATCAAGTTTCGTGAGCTCACAACGAGGATAAAACTGCCTAACTAACATTTATGAAGATAGGTTCTAACATCAGTTAGTTTTAAAATCCTGGCGGATAAACCCTGGCAAATGAATTATTTCGTGGACTTTATTTCTTCCTCTGACATGTACAGGTAATTGTCACCCATAATATTCTTTTAAAGTAATTTCAATCTAAAAAAAATCAAAACAACGTTTCCCTGGAATAAATTAGAAGGTGAAGGCGCTGAAATAAACAGGGTTGAAGGACTTGATAAAATTGCATAGCCTTGTATTTAAATACAGTTAGTGCACGTTCATAAGATAAACTATTCAACTAGAAAACGGCTTGGAGTGACGAAACGTGATACTAAATAAAAAAATGAAAAGTTGAACTAACAAGTGGGTGGACTTAGTAAGGGGTGGTGAAAGTTGTATTGGTTGGCGAGTTCCAGTTACAGTGGCAGCTCATTAAGCATGATTATGACGGCATACCAATGCACAGTAGTCAAATTAATTCTGATTCTCGATTGCCAGACTTTAAAACCAACAAAGTTGCTGCTGAAATGACAGAGGTGTATGGACATAATGAGCGCATACTTTTATGGATAAAAATATTCCTTGTATTTCTAAATAAGTAGCAGTAGGTTATATCGGTCGCCCGAGTCGACGCTTATCCAAAAGAATGCGGCATGGTTGACCAAGGGTGAAGTCAGAAGCATCAACAGCGCCATCCTTGCCCACATGGTTGACTCTGTACATCGAGTGGACCCCAGCCAAGCCCTTAAGGTAATTGATAAGGTCCCGCCAAACTACCAAAAGTCCCTGAATTAGCGTTTGCTAGCAACAGCATAAACAACCGCGATCCGGTTGAGGAAGCCGGTTTTGGGCACGAAAAAGAACCTCCTGCAAGCCCCAAGCTTGGCATGGCCAACGGTTACATAGCTGCCTGCATCTTTCCGGGCTTACTCCCCTTTTACCCTCCTTCCTGTCCGAATTCGACGAACCCTCATCGCCTCGCAATCAGCCGAGTACTATTAACTCCATCCATATCCGCACCCCCTCCCCTTTTCCCATGACTAATTTGCATATGACGATGAATATAATTGCCAGCATGTTACGTTTTACCCCCTTCCCATACAAATGTAATGGCCCGAGGAGAATTTATCGAAAGCTACGTATGCTTGCCAGATATTCTTCTGAATTCTCTCATGGGAATTTTCGCAACTATAAGTAGCAGACTTTGCGATCCAATACCATCCGATAATTCGACCGTCAATTTTAACGAGGTCCAGCGTGTGCTCTACGGAGACGGGGAGGTGCGCGCGAGTTAGTTTTAAATGATAGTAGACTTGCGCAGAATCTACTATACTCTCTCTTCCCGGTGTCATGAAATAACCAAAAAGACTGGAGGCGGGATCTGACGTGACGTGAGCCTGCACCTACGCGTGCTACCACCTCCCTATTTTTGACATTGGTTATGGGAACGCAACCCGAATAATGCCTGGCGTACGC